TCTTTCCTACAGACTGGAAGCTAGCGAGAGTTACTCCAATATTTAAGGTAAAAAGACGACATGAACAACTATCAACCAATATCTGTTATTTCTGTAGTAGCAAAGATTTTTGAAAAGTTTACTTTTGAGCAGTTGTATGAGTATCTGAACAACAACAATGTAATATCTGCGTCTCAATCTGGATTTCGATCATTGCACAGTACACTAACTGCCCTAATAGAAGCCACGGATAATTGGTCAATAAGTTAGAGTTATAAACCGAGAAGGAGGTTTATAACTAACTTATATCACATTTGTGGAAGTTTTCTAACATATTTTGTCATTTTCAAAAATTTTTGATGAAAAATTCTCGCGTTTTGTCGAAAAGTTTGATGTAATTATTTATTCAAGGTATATTAGCTAGTTATAAACCTCGGACGATCAAAGAAAACCGACACAAATGTGATATAAATATAGATAAAAGGCCTTCTTAACGGAGTAATTTTTATCGATCTTAAAAAAGCATTTGATACTATTGATCACACCATTCTTTTACGGAAGTTACGAATTTATGGCGTTGATGAAAGTGGTATCAAATTCTTCGAATCATACCTAAGCAACCGCAGTCAAAGATGTTGCGTCAATGGTGAGTTATCTGAAACTGCTAAAATAACCTGTGGGGTACCACAAGGCAGTAACTTGGGACCTCTATTGTTCTTAATATACATAAATGATTTGCCTAATTGTCTCGACAGAGCCTCTCCAAGAATGTTTGCTGACGACACTAATATTAAAAAATCTTCATCAGTGGCTACTAGCTAATAGACTGAGTCTTAACGTAGCTAAAACAGAATTCATGATAATAGGATCTCGTCAAAGATTACTAGTACATGATAACGAACACATAAGGATAGAAATCGACGGAAAGACTATTAAGAGAGTCAACGAAACGAAATCCTTAGGCTTGCAAATCGATGAGCATCTTACATGGGCACGACATGTCGAAAATATTTCCAAAAAGATTGCATCAGCTATTGGAGCTCTTAAATGGATACGCCAATTTATAGATACAAACACTGCTCTGAAAATTTATGGAGCATTAATTCAACCGCACTTTGATTATTGCAGCTCAGTTTGGGATGGTTTGAATATCACGTTAAATGACAAATTGCAAAAATTGCAAAATAGGGCAGCGAGGGTCATCACTAAATCTCAATATGATGCTAGTTCCAGAGACCTTTTTAGTAAGCTGGGCTGGGATAATCTTTTAACACGTCGGAAAAAGCATAAGGCTATACTAATGTTTAAAACAATTAACGATCTAACTACGTTCTATCTCCATGAATTGTTTGAATCTCACAACACAGGAAATAACTTAAGAAACTCTGAACACACCTTATTTGTACCAAAACCAAGAACGAACTACGGTAAGCGAAGTTTCAGTTATAGCGGGGCAGTTTTATGGAACGAGTTACCACAAAATGTTCGAACATGCTCCCTAAGTTAATTCAAAAGAGCAATTGACAATCTGTTCTCTATATGAGATGGACTCCCGCACGGCAATCTTGTAAATCAGTATTTTAGTGTTTGGATACTGTGTATATTGTCATAGCGTAATTGTAATTATATGTTAGTTAATTATCTTTTTTTTTTTATTTAAACATATTTTATTACAGACATTTTCTCCAAGAGCATAGCTCATCAAGGGAGATTATGTCGGATTATTGACAAACTTTAGGTTACTCACATCAAGACAAAGAGGATTACATAGAAAAAAAGATTACATCAAAACAAATCGAATAATCATAGTGTGGAAGAACTTCTGGTATTCATTCTCAAGCTTTCCATGAAACATATTATTATAAGAAATTTATATGGAAGAATTTACCACACCAATGTTTTACAAACCAATGTTTTACAAAACAAGTTTCAATAAAAACAAAAAAAAAAAATAAAAAAAAAAGTTACTCCGCCTGAAACCGTTTTGTATTTAAAATAAATAATTGGACATTTTGCATTAATTTTACATTATCTTCATGTCCAAGATTTTCCGAACCATGCAAAAGTATTTCAATTTTCCGATTCTCTGATAAATTCATCCACATAGGATGGAGCAGCCGCGCAGGAAGTGAAAGCAATTGTTCACGTTGGGCAGCAAATCGGGAACAATATAAAAAGTAATGTTTGACAGTTTCCATTTCACCCCATCGACATACACAAAAAGGGGAATTTGCACAATTAATTCTATATAGGTGAAAATTAAGCGCACAGTGACCAAGCCTGAGCCTGGTATGGAGTATTGAGCTATATCTACTTAGTGATGCATTGTATTTTACGTTATATTTTTGTCCACAATACATATTACATAAGGTAACTTTAAAGGAAGATAGCGTCTCTATATTTCGTAAATCTGGATCAAGATCATTCCAGGCAGTTATTGTCGATGGAAAGAAAGATTTTTTAAATCGTTCAGTTCTCACAGGTATATTAGTTAAATTATCGTTAGATCTTAGAAAGTAACTGGATCTTTGGTTTACATATGGAGGCAAAAGATCACAAAGGTAGGATGGTGCAGTGTGGGTAACAATTTTATAAAAAAAGGATAGCTTATGAATATGTCTCCTAGTTTTCAAATCCTCCCAACATAGTTCATCCAATAGACGATTTCTATTTGTTCCCCTTATTGCACCAGTAACAATGCGAGCTGATTCGTACTGAACTGCTTCTAAAAGATTTGCTTCCTCTATACTACATCCGTCCCATATTACATCTGCATATTCCATTAAGGGTCTAATTAGACTTTTATATAAGCATATCAGTGTTGACCTTTTAAGCTTATATTTAACCCTTTTTAATGCGTTCATTCTTTTACTAGCTTTTTTATGTATGCTTAGAATATGTTTTGACCAAGAGAAATTTGACGTAAATGTTAAACCTAAATGTGAATGAGAATCAACTTCGCGTAATGCAGTGCCATTTAAGTATAAGATTGGCTGAGGAAGTCGGTTATGTTTCGTTGAAAATGTAATGCTTTCGCACTTAGTAGGATTCAATTCCATCAACCATTCCATACACCATTGGTTAATGCTATTGAGATCCTCGTTTAGTCTAGAATCAAAAGATGATAAATTATCAACAATTTCAAGTAAAGATGTGTCATCAGCGTAGAGAAAACAGTCAGATACAATATTGCTGGAAATATCATTTATGTATATTAGAAAAAGCAATGGCCCGAGCACTGAACCTTGTGGAACACCAGCTTCAACACTCAGCCAGCTCGAGCATTGCCCCTCAATGACAACTCTTTGTTTTCTATCAGACAAATAACTACAAAACCAGCTTAAAAGTGGGTCTTTTACTCCAAGAGATTTTAATTTATACAATAAACCTTTATGCCATACTTTATCAAACGCTTTGCTAAAATCTAAAAACACCATACGGACTTCTTTACCCATTTCTAGAGCTTCATAGATCTTATGAACTATATACGTAAGTTGGTTCACAGTGCTGTCTCCTGGTCTAAAACCGGACTGAAAATCATTAAGGAATCTAATGTCTAATAAAAATTCATATAGTCTAGTGAATACAATTTTTTCTGGTATTTTGGATATAGACGGTAAAAGTGATATGGGACGATAGTTCTTTTTATATTGATGATCATCTTTTTTATAGACAGGAGTTACATTTGCTTTTTTCCATTCAGTTGGATACTCTCCTATTCGGAGACTTGTGTTAATTAAATATGTAAATGTTTTGGCAATTCCGCGGCTACATAATTTAATAATTCTATTGCCAATACCATCATGACCGCTAGCTTTTGTAATATCAACTTTATAGAGGAGATTAATCACTTCTTCTTCTGTTGTTTGAACTATAGACAACGTTTTATCTGTGTGATTAGGATAATAATCTAAGACTGGTAGTTCATGATTTGTGTCATCGACGTTCGCTTCACTTACAAAATATTCATTAAATAAATCCGCTTTTTTTTGTGCATCGCAAACAATCTGAGATCCCTCCCGTATAACTGGAATTGATACACGGCAATTATTATTAAAAACTGACTTAACATAACTCCACCATTTTTTTTGGCCCAAACGAAAATCTGATAATTGGATATTTAGTTTATCATAATATTTTATTTTTGTTTCTCGAATCAGAGTTGTCGTGTAATTCCTTTGATCTTTATATTTCTTCCACAATAAACGAGTTTTTTTCTTAGAAAATTGCTTTAAAATTCTATTTCTTTTACGAATTGCACTTCTTACAGCGCATGTCATCCATGGTTTATCGTTAGGACGTATTTCCTACTTCCTGGGCTGTTTACATGATGGAGGTTTTTGATGTATTGAAATAAGTCACCAGGTTAAACAAAAGTTTAAATGCTTGTTAACAGAACTTAAATATTGTAGGGAAGATCATGTGTACATTCAAAAAATGAGAACAGATTTACCATTTAGCTCGAACACGCCGACACGCGGCGATTATTTAGGATATAAATCGATAAAAACCGAAAGCATTTTGTCGATGAAAATCGATGAATATCGAGAATAATCGATAAAATTGGCTATAATATTTTGTGACTATCGATTGGCCATCGGTTGATCAATGTGAACTGATATCAATGTGATCAATGTGAACTGATAGATAGAAGATAGATTGTTTAATAAGATTAACACATAGCAGCCAATAAGGCTGAATTGCGTGCCAAATTTTACAAGAGAAATGATTAAAATTAGTTATTCTATCTTTACAGAACCTTAAAATTACATCACAATTTATAATTCTATATTACAGTAAATTTCTAAAAAATACATTAGTAAATACTAGTAAATTTCTAAAAATGTATCTACAGCTTTCTTAAATTGTGGAAATGTTTGAAGCTTTCGTATATCTTGAGGAAGGCTGTTCCACAAGTAGGCACCACTATAACAAAAGTTTCGTTTGAAGTAATTCGTTCGTGGCTTGGGCAAATTTAATCTCTTAAATTGTACCCTGTGTGACGAACTGAAAAAAGTCTTGTAGATATGACGGTATATTCCCTTTGAGAGTCTTGAATATTAGGCCAGCCTTAAGCTTTTTGCGTCTTAAGAAAAGGTGATCTATAGCTAAGTGTAAAGTAGTTAATAGGGTGCTTGCACGGGTATCGTATAGCTAGACCTCGTAATGACCCTTACCGCTCGGTTCTGTAATTTCTGTATTTTACAGCTTAATGTTTCACCAAGACCGTCCCAGACCGAGCAACAGTAGTCAAAATGAGGTTGAATTAAAGATTGGTAAACTTGAATAGCAGTGTTCGTGGTAATAAACGGTCTAATGTGTTTTAAAGCGCCTATAGCTGAAGCAATTTTTTACATAATTTGCGAATATGTACTGACCAAGAAAGGTGTTCGTCAATGTGTAGCCCTAAGGATTTGACGAAATCAACCCTATTTATTTTATTATCATTTATCTTAATAATCATTTCCCCATCTATAACTCTTATTTCCTGGCGAGAACCAATAATCATAAACTCTGTTTTTACGATATTTAAGCTTAATCTATTGGTTGTAAGCCAACTATTGAGATTTTTGAGGTCAGAGACAGAGTTCATGATATTTTCCGGTTCTTCAACAGAATTTGAGGCATAACTGACGCTCGTATCATCTGCAAACATTCTGTGTGTTGTATGATTGAGGCAGTTTGGTAAATCATTTATATAGACAATTAAGAAAAAGTAGTGGCCCCAAATTGCTTCCCTTCATGAGGAACGCCACAGGTTATTGGGACGGAGTTTGACAATTGACCATTGACCAGACATTTTTTAGTTCTATCGGTGAGATACGATTTAAACCAAGTTAGGCTATTTAGCAACATAATGTCGTGACAATCGTATCGAAAGCTTTCTTTAAATCAATGAAAACAGCTCCATTTACTATAGTCCATTGTCAATATGCTAATGCTCTTCCCTTGTCAGCTAATGCTCTTCCCTTAGGGAAGGGCACTGGCCAACGTTACAAAATGCTTTTGGATCAATATAATTAGGGTTTTATCAATTGTATTATTTACTAGACATCATTGTATTGTTGGTTAATTCGAAAATAATACTAATAATAAATAACTTAATTAAATAAAACTTGTCCATCGCCCACCATCCGCGTTTTAACACGTGCCCGTTAGAATAATTAAGTTATTCCAACAAATAAGTTTAATAAAAGGATCTTAACGCATTCACAATATTTTAGAAATAGTTTGCTATCAATACAAATAATATATTATTATCATTCTTAATCTAAAGTCCGGATCAAACCGGATGAGAGTGCACGAAAGCTTGCAGTCACGCGACCTTGGTTAGCGCCCTTTAATGCTTTCCCAACACTATCGTGTATTCTGTTTAGGTTGAAACATTGTGTGAACACTCGTCAAACCTTCATTTTGTTAGTCTAGAGCTTGAAATTCCCCCCGTATCACTAATACGTGACTGCAACTAACTCTCATCAACGTTTATCATTTAGCGACCGGGGCTTTAAATTAACTGTATCAAAGGAAAACAAGTATAATGATGGGAAGTAAAAGTCCTGCGTGGGTGCTGGGTGCAGTTATATTCGTTCAGTAATGCAAAGACCGCAAAGTACGAAATTGCCAGTGGGCGTTTTTGTCTTAATTAAGGAGCTTATATAATTATTCGGAAGATTACAGAAGATATTAAAGAATATAATTATTATATCAGATTTTAGACATTATAAGCAGTTTGTTCAATTGTAGGCGCCCACAGACTGATATGTCTGAGATTGCGCGTAACGTACGAACAGGGCCTTTTTTAAGGATTTTCCCGTGGGGGGCCATTTTTTGAAAAGGGACCTTTCTGTCAGATAATATATTAGAGGGGGATAGCAATGGCTGAAAGCCACGTGTGTGGCAAATATACCACGCATGAATGGGGGGGGGGTCTGGGGGTGTACTCCCCCAGAAAATTTTCGAAATTTGAACCCCGGAAATGTCATTTCCTGCATTCTGAGCATCCAAATTTGCTCCAAAATTTATCCTAACTATACTTGTATTTGAAATAAATAAAGGAAGAAACGCACAAAAAGTTTAAAAAAAAATTAATCATCATTTATCATTACTTATTAGAGGAGGATAGCAATGGTCAGGTGTGTGGGGGTGTACTCCCCCAGAAAATTTTTGAAATTTGAACCACGGAAATGCCATTTCCTGCATTCTGAGCATCCAAATTTGCTCTAAAATTTATGCTAACTATAGTTGTATTTGAAATAAAAGATGGAAAAATGCACAAAAAGTAAAAAAGAATATTAACTGTAATTTATCATTACTTATTAGAGGGATAATCCCAAGAAAATTTTTGAAATTTGAAACCGTGAAATGCTATTTCCTGCATTCTGAGCATCCAAAAAATAAAAATAAATATTAACAATAATCTATCATGGCTTAGTGGTAAAAAAAGTAACAAGTTAAATCGATTTTGTTAAACAAGAACAGAGGATAAAGCCTAAAACTTAGTTTCCGTTTATCTATTTGTTAATCTTCGCTGGATTGTTTGTATAATTTTAGGAAAAAGGGACTTTTTCTGGGGGGGCAAAATGTGATTTCGTGGGGGGGGGGCACAAGGGGGGACTGGGGGGGCAAATGCCCCCCCAGCTTGTATGTTAAAAAAGGCCCTGCGTACGAATGTACAATGTATATAAGTTTAATAATTTAATTATAATATAACATTGATACTGTGGTAGAGTTGATTGGTCGAGAACGACGAGAGCGTGTTTCTAGTGCGATTTCCTTCTTATGATGCATGTGAATGAGTGATGAGTTATGAATGTTTTTAACACATGTGTAAGCGCGGAACATGGGCCTTATAACTGGTCGGCACTAGATCATAGACAAGATACGTACATATCTGAAACTGCAATACATACAAGTCAGCGGTATTTCAAGTGCTGTAAACTTTATATAAACGCTTATAAACGCAATAAACACATCATTACAAATGGAGATTTAAAGATTGTATTAATCAAGAAACTATTAATTATATATTTATATAGATAAATAGGTATGTATATGTGCAACTCGAAATATATATTTACTTTTATTACCTATTTGGGGTTAATTTTAAAATAATTTTAACTCAAACATATTTATATATACCCGCCTTATTATACCGTAGCCAACGTGTTTTTATTTTCCAAGGGAAAAATATAGCCGACATATTCATATAGGAAAACACATGGTGGTCAACTTTGCACGTTAGTCGCTTTATATGCCTTGTGGAGACGAGCAAATTCTGTTAAATGTTCTGTATTTGCTATTGAATACAAGGTGAATTAATATAATGAATAATGAACTCAATCCAATAGCTGCATAGTTTTGGAGTTGACCACCAAGTGCTGCCTAAAGAGTCATATGATTCAGATTGAAACCCAACTATGGTCGCATCAGTGATCACTATTTAGTCTGTTAGGGCCTGTTCATATGAGCCCTGCTCTGCCGGGCTGGCCCAGCTAGCCGGGCTGGTTTTCAAGTGCCGAGATCCCGCCTCACATATTGTTTGTATATTAATTTAGGATTGGGTTCATATGAGAAGCGGGCCAGCCCGGTTTGCAGGGATCTCGCTTGAGCGAGGCAAGATCCCGGCTTGCCGGGCTCATATGAATGCACAACCGGGCTAGCCCCTAAGCCCAGCAAGCTGGGCTGGAAATTTGCATGCTTTATTCCACTGATAAACAGTGTAAAATGTCCAAAACTATAGGAATTTATCGAAATTAAACCTCATGAAGCTGTTGCCGTCGACAAAAATAAAATTTTGCCAAATAAACACAAATTTTATTTTCCCGCTAAAATATCGCGGGAAATCGTTACTATGAATAGATATGATTGCCGGGCTAGCCCGCCTCATGTGAAAGCAAAGCGGGCCAGCTCAGCAAAGCGGGCCAGCTCGGTTAACCAGGTTTATATGAACAGGCCCTTAGTCACTCTTTTAAATATCTGCCTTGTGCAATTGGCCATTACTCATTAGCATTTGAATCTTGTAGTCTGGCTTGGCTAATTGAATATTAGAGCAACACAAATAATAAATATTTACTAATAATTAGTAATAATTATAGCTAGCTAGAGCCGGGGGGACCCCCCTCAGAAAATATTGCCCCCCCCCCGATACATCTATCTTTTGTATGCCTTGGTTAAGCTGTCCCTCCCCCTGGGTCCACAAATTTAAAATTTCAAAGTCTGAGTGCATATTTTTGGAAATACAATATTTGAATTTTTCTTATATTTTCCCTAGAAATTATGCACAATAACACAGTAAATTTTTAGTAAATTGTTCAAAGAAAAGGATCTTCCAACAGCAGCAGATGACACAGAAAATCTTTAGTAAATTGTTCAAGGAAAAGGATTTTAATTCCAACAGCAGCAGATGACACAGTATATCTTTAGTAAAATGTTCAAGGAAAAGGATCTTCCAACAGCAGCAGATAACACAATAAATCTTTACTCTGTCTAATGCTAGATGATTTTACTCATCGAGGGGAGTCTTGCAACTTAATGGGTTAATAAATCAGTTGGTTATTACAACCGATTTCAACTTAAATCTTAATTCATATTTAACATATTCACTTTAACCCATTTACTGGCAGTACTCTACCGCTGACGACTAATTAATCGTCTGGTGTTAGACAGAGTAAATACTAAGTAGGGCACATTTGGGCACATTCACATTGCCAGTTAATGAGTTAAATATTAACAACATTAAAAACAGACTAGGGTGTCAAAGGCTAGGTGGATGCCTCTTTGCCTGCAACAAAGCATAAGTGGGACTGCCACATGATCAATGTTATAGATTAGAGCAATGAAGGGAATCAATATTTTAACAAAATAATTGTTCATGTTTCGCTCGCTACTCTGGTTTAAATAAATGATTACAAAGCCCAGTCGAATTGTAATCAAGACCCAACGTTTCGACACTCCAGTCTAGTGTCTTCATCAGGGGTGATTTAAAACTGCGATCGTGGCTTCTTAAATACCCAAGAGATGACGTCACCTGCCAAGAAGATGCATATATTCCTCTGGCAAATAGGCGCCGTCATCGTTATTCAAAGCATGATGACTCATATTTATATGCCACGCTTCTAGGCAAAGTCTTTGACAATAGCGATTATTTGTGATAATTACTTTAGAAGGAATTACTTTTCTAAAGTAATTACCACAAACAATCGCTATGGTCAAAGACTTTGCCTAGAAGCGTGGCATATAAATATGTGTCATCATGCTTTGAATAGGGATTACGGCGCCTATTTGCCAGAGGAATATATGCATCTTCTTGGCAGGTGACGTCATCCCTTGGGTATTTAAGAAGCCACGATCGCAGTTTTAGATCACCCCTGATGAAGACACTAGACTGGAGTGTCGAAACGTTGGGTCTTAATTACAATTCGACTGGGCTTTGTAATCATTTATTTAAACCAGAGTAGCGAGCGAAACATGATTGATATACCTGGTTGCAGTGAACGAACAAACTTTAAAATAATTGTTATTAGTAAAATAATTGCTAAAATAATCAATATTTAATAATAAAATAATTGTTGTCAATTAATAAAATAATTGTTAGAAATTGTTGGGTTAATATTTATGGGGTTTGTTGCCTCCAAGGAATGCATCCACCTAACCTTTGACATCCTAGACAACTGTTTTTAACATGTTGTTAATATTATTAAGTGTATGAAAATATGAAAAGTTGAAATATGTTGTGCTATAGCAGACTATGCAGTGATTATGCATATATAGTACATAAAATGGACATTAGATGACTCGAACTGGCCTAGTTAGCCAGGCTTATCTTCAGTGTCTTGGTTAGCCAAGATTGTGTCTCATATGATAACAATTTCTATTCTGGCAAGGCAGGCTAGCCTGGCTCATGTGTCGATCATGTGAACAGGGCCAAAGATGATACATCTTAACATCATATAGTAGGCATGCAAATATCATACTGGCAGATAATTGATTAAAAGCCTTTTTCCATTATTGTGTATTTCTACCATTTAGTATTAGCACTTGTTTCTTTCTTTCTGGCCCTTAGGCATATTTGGTGTGGGGGCCCCTGTTGACTGTTATTGTTTGACTGAGATCTTATTTATATTGAATATTTATCAGTAGAATGGAAAATTCCATGTCTATAACAATGATAATAACAGTCTCCAACACATGTAACAACTTTTAAGAATAAGTTTTGTTCTATTTGAGATGGAATACCGTCGTTGATGGAGGGTTTATTATTTAGCATTTATTTATTAATTTTGTATTTTCCATCAATTCGTAACCTGCATTTTTTTATGTTTTCAGTGTTTTCAGTCTAATTTTCTGGGCGATAAGCTGTGGCTGATGGGGGCCCCTAACAGTCGGGTACCCTACCTAGTGGGCATTATGCCACTGAGGGGGCGGGTGAGGAAAAGGGGGGCAAATTCAACTATTTTTGAAAGAATTGGGGGTGGCCTCAAAATATGTGACAAGGGGCGACCCCAAATTTTTAATACTTTCCTACTCATTTTCAATCTCTTGCCTTTATCGTAATGCAAAATATTTCACCTTTTTTAGTTTCCATAATCGTAGTCTCCATAGTTTATCACACTCCCCCCACGGAAGAAATTTCTGCCGTCCGGAGGGAGAGGGGAGACAAACTTGTTTCTGATAATAGTAAATTATTAGGGTTAATTTCCAATTTCCTCCGTGGGGAAGGTATGGATGTTTTCTGGAATGACCCAATAGGAGTCAGAGTAAATAACAACCATTTTGAATACTGGTCCTCTTATTATTAAGGCTACACAATGTCTTACACGAGTACTGTTGTATGTTGGAGGGAAGGGGGGGGTCCTAAACTTCTAAATGAAAGTGGGAGCATCTTGAAAATAAAGGTCTTGCGATTGGGGCAGCTCTAAAAAAGTTCAATATTTGGTATCTATCACTCACCGCCCCATTTGATACATCTCCAACCACTAATTGTTTTTATTTTGTACTGTACTCTTCAAATTTCTCAAACATTTCTGCTTGCGAAGCGCGAACAAGCACTCGGTCACTCTTCGATGGAAGCCATATTGCTTTGGTTTCGCGCGTTTTGTCCAATTTCGCGCACTAATTTATTTGAATTTTAAAGATGGAATACCGCTGACTCGTATGTATTGCAGTTTCAGATTTGTACGTATCTTGTCTATGATCTAGTGCCGACCCTTATGACTGCATGGGAAATTTTCCGTCTCGCAGCTATGATTTTAAAACGTAAACAAAATTATTTCTCGCTCTCCCAAACCGGCTCTCCCACGGATAATTGTTCAGAAATTAGCTATTAATAGTTTGACAATTTAGCAGTGAATAGGCATAGGCGTACTGTGAAGTCGAATTCCAGAATGTCGAAAAACAAGTCACGTATGAAGCTTCCGCTGTTTTGGCAATATAAATTATAATTCGAACCTAACACTCATTATTTTATTAATATGCGCATATCTATCAATGATCACGTGCAGGCCTTTTATATAGTTCGCTCTTATAAAAATGTGATATAGCCATGCAAGGTATATTTCACTTACTGGGGGCCAAAAGTTAGTGGCTCATACTGGGCACTAACCTTACCCGGACCTAAATCTTACTCTGGGGAGACCACACTGGGCCCTGGTCTTGGTTTTGCCCCCCCCCCCCACCCCCACCCCCCACTGTAAAACGTAAAACAATTAAAATATGCACTGTCTCCATGTTAAATTTCTCTTCAAAACATCAAAATATTCAGTGGTAAATTTAAAGCATGCATCAGCGCTGTGAGCTGCAGCATGTGTAGTCTGGATAGGAAGAAATATGCTACGTCTTCAACAGGGCCGCCCAGAGGTTGGCGGGGGCCCGGGCAAATTTTTTTTTAGGGGCCCCTATCTAAAAAAAATTTTTCCGGAAAAAATTTTTTTCCGGACAACAAACTCCCCCTAAACAAACTCCCCACTGGACACTAAAGCACTCGTAGAACTCATACGTCACTACATCCGAGACCAGGTGCGCGTATTTTCCGTATTTCCCCTCTGCTAGTGACATACGAAGTTCGAAAATTTCCCGTCATTTTCATTGTTGTTGTTTTGAAAATACAAATGGTCTTTGGTTCGTATTTAAAACGAAATTAACGTTGAAAATAAAACGAAAACATTTAAAAGACATATAATTTTAAAAAATATCGCTTTTACACTGGTCCTTCGCGTGCTTATTTACATGTCTTTGTGTGTATTTTTGTCACTCTGAATAAGTCCATATAATAAACAGAACATTAAACGGTTGCGAGAAGATATGGATTTATGTTCTCGTGTGTCAAAAATATCTCACTCGTTCGCTGCATGCGCTCACTCGTGAGATATTGTTTTTGCCACTCGAACATAAAATCCATATCTCTTCGCAATCGTCTAATATCCTCTATGTATATTATAGTAAAAATATGTTATAGAGTATGAACTCTAAGATAAAATCGACTTGCCTATTTGATAGTGTGTTAGCCCGCGTGCAGGCCCAAGGGAACTGATAGTGAGCCTGCAAGCAAGTCCCGGTATTTTGTACTTTCCGCGTTCGCCTACGAACGCGGTATTCTGATTGGCTGTTTGCTGTTGGATTCTATAATTAGGTCGGTGATTCATCACAAAGGCTCTCGATAAGCTCAAAATTCGAAAATTGATCACTTTTTTCGATTATAAATGGAACAAGAACAGACTGTTTATTGTTTACTTGAAGGAAGAGATGTTTTTGCCGTTATGCCAATGGGGATTGCTTGTCGTGAGGTGTTGAAATAGCAACATTACGACTGGGGTAAACTATAGTAACCTTTACTTGAGTTTCATTAATTTCAAACAGACTTGATACGTTATATAATCCTCAAGAAAATTATCTTTTGGTTGATGTTGAGATGCAGTTGCATGTAAGCCTATTCGAAACACTTTGCGATTTACAAGGCTTCGCTGAGAGAGCGAAACAGAAGACGGTATTAAATTGCCGTTTGAAACGAAACGATCTGGACTCTGAACGCTATCTTCTTTTGTAGAGTTCTTTACCAAATGAAATAACTGAAATAAATTTCGTACTTTCCGCCGCCAACAAGAATTGCACACACGATCTGATAAGTGAACTAAGTGAGACAATTCATTTATAACAATGCCAATGGCGACAGCGAAGCACACATAATATAAATGCTAATCCCTCACGATTTGAAGTTTTAGACTGGTTTTCTGTTGAAATTCGACCTAATTTGCCTGTTCCGATTTTAGTTGAAAATGAGCACTTGCAAATTTGGCAATTACTGACTGCGTTGCTTGCTTTTTTGGAGTTAAAACGCTGCCATTTACACATGTTTATGTTCTGAATAAGCAGAGAAAACCCCGCAACATTTTAATGCGAATTTGTTTGTTAATATTTGGGTGCTGTCATTGGTTCTTTTTTGACAATTGACGCGCGAATGGGGCGTGTTATGAAAAGGGGCGTTTTACAAAATACCGGGCCTTGCTTGCAGGCCCACTATCAGTTCCCTTGGGCCTGCACGCGGGCTAATAGTGTGTGTTCTCCTTTTATTCCTCTTTTGTTGGACTAATATTTTCCGAGACTTTGCACTCGATGGTACTAGTAATACATATTATATAATAACTACAGTGAAACACGTAATTTGATTGATCAGACAATTCTGCACGGGAAATTCTGAACAGAAATTCTTGCACATAATTTTACAAATATACTTGCATTGTAAAGTTTTATTGTACAATACCTTTCGACTTTGAAGTAAGTTTGCAATTATTGAGACGTTGGTTTAGTTGTATGAATAAATTTCTAATCGATACGTTGCTGTTCAGCAAGTAGCAATGCATAGCGTTGAAATTTATCAGACCATGGCAAGTACAAGTGTACAACATCTCTCGCTTCAAAGTTCAAACGCTTCGCAATCTTCAAGTATTCAGGTGGAGAATCTTCATAACTACTTTGGCTTTCTGTTTAGCTGGTTTTCCATTTCAAATTTCGTATATTATATAGAAAAAGACTCTGTATTTTCGCTGTATATTTTCGCGAATTTGCGATCAAATTCTGTTCACATTTGTTGTTGTTTTCAATAGCGTGGAGTAGCGATTCTCCGATTGGTTAATTCACGATTGTTGTGAGAACTGCACATTTCATCAGTAATTTTAATCAAGTTAACCCACGTTTCACTGTAGTAATTTTATAAAACAATTACCAAATGGTTTTCCCGTGCAGGATAGCATGATCCATGCACTTGGGATGTTGCTCGACTTTTGGAAAGCGTAAAAATACACTCGCCTACGGCTCGTGTATTTTCACGCTTTCCGAAAATCTTGCAACATCCCGCGTGCATGGATCACGCAATCCTGCACGGAAAACCATTCCGTATTCCTTTACAATCGTCGATCCGTCTGCACGGCACTTCGAATCGAAAATTCTCCCACTCAAATCGCTTTATTCTCCAAAACAATTTGCCAGCATCTAGAACAGATGCTGTTCTTCCAAAATATGGAGATTCTTCGGCGAGATGTACAAGTTTTGGACCATAAGTCAGCAATGGAAATCAAAACCCATTTTATATTGAACTTACAAAGACCGACGATTACTACCGCGAATGCCTGGCAACCAGGCCTCTTTTACCGTTCGGATTTACAGGTGGAGGGGTTACATTAATTCGAAATATGATCGTTGTATTAAAGGCTTATTTGAAATATGATTTGATACAGTCCGACAATATGTTGTTTCCCATTGTACGTCTCGCTTTTTGGTATTTTATTTGCATGCTGTGAATAAGCAACGTTTGCCCCCCCCCCCCTGTAAATCCCAACGGTAAACGAGGCCTGGTTGCCCAGGCATTCGTGGTAGTAATCGTCGGTCTTTGTAAGTTCAATATAAAATGGGTTTTGATTTCCATTGTTAAAATATGATCCAAAACTTGTATATCTCGCCGAAGCATCTCCGTATTTTGGAAGAACGGCATTTGTTCTACAGCTGGCGAATTGTTTTGGAGAATAAAGCGAGAGTTTTGGAGAATAAAGTGGGAGAATTTTCGATTCGAAGTGCCGTGCAGACGGATCGACGATTGTAAGTATTATTATTATTATTATTATTATCATTATTATTTAATCTTATTTACACACATATACAACGGTAGCCCTTCAGCAAGTTTATCTATACAGTTCCTTGTAGCTGATTTTCAAGGGGCCGTTGATTAATAATAAGGGAAGAAAATAATGAAATATACGAATATATATATATAAATATAACACACGAATAATCCCCCCCCCCCTTCCTTCACTCAGTCCTCCCACCCACCCTTATAATAAAACATTAAAAACTTTAACAATCTACGTTTGTCTGTCTCGGAGCAGCGCTTTAAATCTTGTTAATGTTATACCATTATGTTTAAGTTCTGTTGGCAGTTCATTCCAAATCTTTACTCCTGAGTAGCCGATACTTTTTTTAAGAAAATTAGTTTTAGGCTTTTTTATCGAAAAGTCACAATTGTTATTGCGTAAATTATAATTTTCATTATTTTTCACATTAAAGATATCAGTAATTGTTGTCAGGTATTTGCCATTTTTGGCTTTGTACATAAAAACTGCCTTATTCTCTCTCCAATATTCTATCAGTGGCTGCCAGCCTAAGTCCTGTAAAATAGTCTCGGACCTAACTTCGTACAACCTACCAGTAATGACTCTTGCAGCCCTGTTTTGCATTTTCTGCAGCTTTTCAAGCGAGTAAACATTACCAATGTCCCAAACAAGGCTACAGTAGTCAAAGTGAGGTTGTACTATTGCATTATAAACTGAAATTAATGTTGACTGGGGTACAAAAGTTTCCATTCGTCGAATCATGCCTATGGCGTTTGATACCTTGGTAACGACATTATCTATATGTGCATTCCATTTTAGCTGATCATCAATAATGACACCTAAAGTTTTTGTTTCTTTCACTCTTTTTATATTACAATTTCCTAATTTAACTTCTGGATCACCTTCAATTTTGCTAATCCGTTGCTTAGACCCGGCTATCATATATTCAGTTTTGTCCTTATTGAGAGTTAATTTATTGGCCAATAACCAGTGATGTATATTTTCCAAATCATTGTTTAATTTTGTTTGGATGTCTAAAATCGAGCACCCGCTTGCTGTCAGATTAGTATCGTCTGCAAACAAACTGGCTGTAGTCGTTCTTAAACAATTAGGCAAGTCGTTTATATAAATAAGAAACAATATTGGGCCTAAATTTCGAACCTTGTGGTCCACCACAACGAATTATTCGAGGTTGGGATGTCACTTGATTTACTTTACACATTTGTTTTCTATTCGTTAAATATGATTTAAACCAATTTAAAGTGGTTCCTTTACAGCCAAACTAAGACAATTTTTTTATCAAAATATCATGGTCGACACAGTCGAAAGCTTTTGATGTACCATTTGTTCGTATTATTCAAAAGGCAAGTTGTAGTCGAACTCTTTTTCCTAAAGCCAGTTTGACTGTCCGACAGCAAGTTGTTAGACTCCAAATACCCATTGAGTTGCCTGGAGATAAGCTTTTCAAACACTTTAGCTACTACAGATATAATAGATATTGGTCTGTAGTTACAACAATCTAGTTTGCTATCCCGGCCTTTATGTATAGGAGATATGCATGAAATTTTAAGGTCATCAGGAAGTATCAGGAAATACGCCCTTATCAATGGATTTATTGAAAATATTTGTGAGGGATTCGGCAACTACTTCCACACTGTCTTTCAAAAGTTTTGGTGATATACGATCATGTCCAGTAGCTTTGGAAGTTTTGATTCTTGAAATTTCACTTTTTACCTCCACTACAGAAATGTTTTGAATTTCAAATGTAGTTTCAGTAGGGTTGACATACGCCTCAAAACTATTATGCCCATTTGAGAGATTATCAGCCAAAACGGTTCCAATATCATTGAAATATTTATTCATACCTTCTGCTATTTCATCCGGATTTGTTGTAACTTTCTGATCAATTATCAGTTCATTAATTTTAGTTGTTTTCGATTTCTTGTTTGTTAATTGATTGATAGTTTTCCACATAGATTTTGGATCCTTATTGCATTGATTTATCGCATTATTGTAATAATTCGCTTTTGTATCTTTTACTAACTTGCTCAAATTATTTCTAGCCTTTTTGTATGCATTATGAAAGTGGGTTGAACCTGTTTTAATTGCTTTTTTCTTAAGAAAATCCCTATGATACATTTTTGTTTTGATTTGCGAAGTTAACCATGGCACATGTTCGCATCGAACTCTCCTGATGACCGGTGGTGCATGCATATCCGCTACTAACAAAAATTTTTCCTTCCAGTCATCCCAAAGGATATTCGGATCGGATTCATGCGGCTGTGAATGAAGGATATTATACAAATCTAGATTGAAAGCTTCTATGTTATAACGCTTAAACTGTCGCGTATTGATAATCTTTGGTTGCTTACGTGGTATAGATATTTTCCTGTGTATATAGATTAAGCTATGATCGCTGATACCGATGTGATGTACACCGGACTTAATTATTATCTCTGGACGATTACTAAAAACCAAATCGATTTGTGTTCGAGATCTTTCGGTGACTCGAGTCGGTTCATCAATCATTTGGTCAAGTTGATACATTCTAGCCAAATGTGATAACCTTCGAGTCTCGATTTTATCAGGTTGGAGCCAATCACAATTGAAATCGCCGATGCATATAATTTCCTTATTTTCACTATCCATTTTTTGTATACATTGTTCGTATTCATTAAATGCTTCTATAGGCATATCTGGAGGCTTGTACCACGTGTTAAGAAAAAAAGGTTTAGCTCTAGGTTTTTTATTTCCACCGTGATTGTTTCCAATCCTTCTGGCATTATGTCTTCTCTAATTTTATAGCTATATATTGGAAAGGTAGATTTTCAATTGATCTATATTTTTTATTAAGCTTCTGATATTAAGATGACCTATTTTGAAACCTTTATCTCCGTTTTTCGATTTTTTATCAACTTTACTAGTAATATTGCCTTCCTCCCGAGGCAACTCATTTGTTTGGACGTTTATGACATCACCGGTTTTACCATACGAGTATGAGGTGCGCTCCGAGACAGATTCGTAGCATCAATTGTACTTAGAATTAAAGTAGGTAAGAAAGTTTTTTGCCATTATGCCTGCACCAAATTTGTTTAAGTGCAGGCCGTAAGCGTTTAAGTGTTTGTCCTGAATGTTTTTATGTTTAATATAAGTTAAATTACGTCGTTGACATGCTTTAACTAGCATTTCGTTTACCTTATCGACTTTCTGTGAGAATTCAGCTTTGTCGGTTCGGTGTATCAGCTCAGATACAGTATAACTACATTCGTTGTTGGACTTTCTTTCTTTATAATCTCCTCAATTTCTAGGATACCATTCACAATCTCATTAGTCTGTTTATCTCTTATATCATTTGTACCGACATGTAGTATGATTTGATCTGGCTTTCTCGCTACGCATGGTCTTATGTGATGGCTCATCGCTTCCGTGTTCGAACCTCTGTACGTTTCCACATATATGTTGTGATTGCCTGCAGCTATCGATCGCTTTAGTCGTTTGGAATCAAGGTGTTTCACCATGGAGTCGCCAACTATAACGGTAGTTATTTTTTCGTTGGTATCTCCTTTCTTTACGTTTTGCTTTCTCTGGTTTGGAGTTTTATCTTGCCTGTTTCTGGTTGCATTATCTTCGTTTTGGCCGGCGTGATGTTCATTTTGGCAGGCGTGATGTTCATTCTCGTCATTTATAGCGTTTTCATCGAAACGAAGTGCAGAATACCTGTTACGTAATGGAATGTTTGTATTCGGTATTTCATTTCTCTGCTTTGTGCAATCTGCCACTTCGCGTGGACAGGTTTGTTCCTTTATCATGCATGTATTATGTATTACCGAGTACCATCGAGTGCAATGTTTCGGAAAATATTAGTCCAATAAAGGAGGAATAAAAGGAGAACACACAATATCAAATAGGCAAGTCAATTTTATTTTAAAATTTATATTTTATGTTATATTTTTACTATAATACACATTACTATAAGTCTAAACTGACCCTTGCGAGATTAGACCGCTGTGGTATTTTGTAGACCCGATTTCAGGCTTAATCAGGCCTTAATTAAAATATCGGTCGGTCACGGACATTGTCCGACTCATTCGTGAAATTGTCCGACGTAGAAAGAAAACCACCGGACATTCTATCCAACGTAAGTGAAACTGAGGTTTATTGTTTGTCCGACCTGAGTGTATTTGTGTTCGACCGAACTGTAGCTTTGTCCAACGTAAATCAAAATGTACCCTAGCCCAGGACTATATAGAGGCTTGTATGTTAAATGGAAAGTCAGAGTACTATTGTATAAAAGGTGAACTGGAAGTGTTGTTTTAACGTAGTCGAGCGCGGGGAGGCGAGCGAAATGGTGAAGTGGAAAACGGGCTTATGTTGTCGAAGTCCTTTTTAATACTGCTGTTCTGGAAAGCAAGTTAATTTTAGCTTGGGAATAAGTATGAAAGAAAAAAAATTAAATTTCTTCACAACATTTACAGTACAGAATTAATACATTGTGCTGATATTCATTTGTGTCATTCAGACTTATTTCCGAGTCAAAACTGAACTGAAGGTCATCGGACATATGTCTGACCCAAACTCAATGTCATCGGACAATTTGTCAGACGGCCCTGTGAAAGATATTTTAAGGCCTGGGCTTAATGTGAATAATGTCTATTGACACTATATATTGTTTGGCAGCTAACTCGACCGTATTCTGCCGGTAATAGAAACTGAAAATGCTCATGGAAGGTATAGTCGCATTGATGCCATTAGTCTGTTAGTCGTGCAATAAATAGTTTATTATTTTAATGTCTCGTTCTAAAATGCACGATAAACATAGGCCGGCGTAGGATGAGCACCCAAAAGATGCAATTCCGTTGCACCCCTCGTGGAACTACGTAATTTTCACATGAATCAATAGATAATAACTTACTTTATCGGAATCCGTTGCTCCCCAAGCGAAACAGGTGCACAATTGGGAAAATAATCCCTCCAAAGTTTGCTATTTTCCCGCTTCAAAATATTCGAACCGCCATTGTTTTGGTAGCAAATACGCATGCGTACGCGCAGATATGAAGATGCGTACTGCGCATGCGCAGATAGGAAGAATGGATTTTCCCTGTGGGTTTTCCCCGACTTCCCGGAATAGAGATCAAACCTTGTAATATTAACGAATAAATACACACACATTAAATATTGATATTTGCTGTGTTGGTGTAATGTACTCAGGTGAATAAGATGCTTGTGTGATGTTACTCTGAGTGTATATCCACACCGGGCAGGCTTGAAAAATGCCTGGCCACGGTGGGATTCGAACCTTACGACCTTTGGAATACTACAATCCTGGACAAAACCATCTGCGACACTCTATTAAAACATTCCTTTGTGGATTTTTTTACCAGTTAGACCGGAATAATTTCCTCGTTTGCCCCCCTCCACCCCCCAAAACAATGTTGGACGTCTTATCCGTATTCTACGAATGCAGTCAACATTGAATGGTGGGGGAAAGGGGGAGGTTTTCTAAATTTACGATAATATTACGACATTTTGTCAAGTAATTGGAAGTGTCGCAGATGTTTTGTCCAGGATTGTAGCCCAGTGCTCTGCCAACTGAGCTACGTATCATGATTATTAGATTACACTGATATCGAAGGAACTAGACTCAGTTCCGAAATATCGCATACTCGAACCGATCTGACCGCGTAGCTCAGTTGGCAGAGCATTGCGGTGCCCAAAGTTTGGCACCGCATTATATTCTGCCTGTGAGTTTGTCCGTTTGTTTGTTAGTTTGTTTGTTAGTTTGTTCGTAGCCTGCGAACAGGCCCTGGGTGCGAAGAATAGAGAGCCTGCACGGAACTATAGGTTTTCTTGGTAGTGGCGTTCGTATAGCAACGCAGGCTTCTGATTGGCTTACACTCGTTGACAAAATTACTAAAAATAGCAAATGTCAACAACAGCATTTTGAAGAATTTGAACTTTATTCATTTTAATATTATATATTATAGGACTATCGAACAAATAAAACTAGAAATGGAAACCAAAAGCAATAGCAAAGCATCACAGCAAAAAAGTCTATCATAAATGACTTGAATCTATCGCTTAAATCCAATACACGAAACTATAACAGTATTCTGAACTTCGTCTTCGGATTGACATCGGACTATAGTATACTACATTTTGAGGTCGTCGTGGCTTCACGGATTATTCTCATTAGTGAGCAAGTCAGCAAGCGAAGGCATACAAAAGATACCCAAATATGTACGAATAATTATATTGTTGATCCTCGCTGGCATGTCATTTAGATAAATATATATCGTACATTAAACGTTGTACTATTTGCTGTATATTAACTGCTGACAATTTCGTCGTCGATACGGCTTCCACTATTGGCACACTCGTGATTTCGAAGAAATTAATAAATACATGCTCATTTATCATTTATTTAGACCACAGTTAGTAAAATTTTAAACGTATTCGGTATTCCAAATCCCAATCTATCTGACCGTATTTTAGTAATAGCTTCAAAATATTCAGAACATTGTTCTTTCAGTCGCACATAGTACAAGTATTACTGTACATTCAAAGCCAACGGTAGTATTTTATTCGGCTTTATATTTGTATGTGTATTGATATCTATTTAATATTTGAATTCTATATTTTTCCGAGTAATATATTGTGCGGCCCGCTAATGTTTTGTATTATTGTTCATGTTGCACAATGTACACGCCTTGCGTCAATTTGACAGTTGACAGTTTATTTATCGCAGTCGACGCTGATTGGTTCGCGTTTAGCAGATGCGAAAAGGGGTGGAATGAATAAAACGCATGGTTCCGTGCAGGCTCACCTTTCTCCCAGTGAGCCTGTTCGCAGGCTACCTTCACCAGTGCTACAGAACTGATACCCTGGTTGCCAGAGGTTCTGTATCTTTCGCCTTATTCCCGCTCGTATATTTATTTTACGGCGAGGCGAAGAGAACCTCTGGTGGCACGCGATACAAATCTCTCTTCCATGCTGACGTTGCCGTTTGAGAACTTGCAAAACCGGTTTTATATTTTGTGACGTTTTTAAACTTCCGGCTTTGTCATACTACCAAAATAGCTCTCTTCAGACAGCCTTGTCTAAAATACTAAAAATACTGATTGTGGAATGCCGTTTGTATTAGGTCTATTTATAGCGTCAAAAGTGAAAGAATATAAACATATAAATATTTATATATACGTGTGCAACGGAGCCAG